GCAGCATGTTACACTTTACTACTCATAGTTAAATGAGTCAGAGCTGTTGTTTCTGGTTCTGCCTCCAGCTTCTCCTGCCGCAGAGATGGTCAGACAATGGGTCCGTGTTGCAGAGGGGCCTCGGGCCAGCCCCAAGGAGCTGTGTGTTGCAATGCCCATTATCGCAATGCCTCATTTTTAGGCTCCCTGCTGTGGAACAGATTGCTCAGACCAGGGACAGACACCACTATGCTTCACACAAGGTGTGGAGAGAGTTAAAAGCTAAAGAAAGGAAACTTCAGTAATCCACACACTCACTGGGTTAGAATATATATATATATATATATATATATAAAAATGTACAGTGGGACCCAGCACTGTGACAGGCAAGAAGAAGGCGTCTCTTTCTGCCACTAACTCCCTTGCAGTTAAGTGCCTAAGCCACATCAGCCTGCTTTTGTGGAAAACTAGGGAGGGAGAGAACCACCTCATTGCATCCAATATCTCATTGGGTACAGCAAGTGATATGCCAAGAAACGCAAAACTTACTTGCCGGTCACCACTCTGCTGGATTTAATTTGAACGTCCCTAGTGCTCCGAGGAGTGTCCTGGCCACAAAGCTGTTTGAGCAGCCGCTTTTGCTTGCACTCTCTGGCTACTTCTGTGTCTAATACAAAATCAAATGTATCATTAGGAGAGATGACGAGCAGTTATCTCTGAGTCCCTAATAAGTCGGTGATTGGGATTTTCACTTTGCACACAAAATACCTGAGTTCAGCTGCTTACCTGAACTCAGACAATACTGGCAGTTAGTGCTAAGTATCCTGTTTCTTCTCCGTGAAGGTGTCCAGCCAGTTTGTTCAACAGACCTTTCGCTTCCCAGATCTTTAGGAAGAAGGTCTGATGGGACTCGGGAGACTCACACAAGATGATGAGCCCGGATTTAAGCATACGAGTACTACTTGGAAGCAGGCTCACCCCCTCCCCTTTGCCTGGCCTTTACAATGGGTAAGTTAGGCAGCTTCCCTGCTCTGCCTCCGATTTCTGAAGGTTATGTTCCCAGGCACAATCCCGAGCAGCAGGAGGCTGCTGCTGCTGTGCCTAACTCGCTGAATTTAGCCTGTCCTTACTTTCGAAAACAGGCTTTTCGCTCCTAATTCACTTGAACACTATGGGAAAAAGTTAGATAAAGCATTCAACAGGGCACCGATTCGTGTTTCGCGTTCAACAGCGAATTTAGAAAAAAACCCTGAAAACACCAGAAGTTCGGAGCAGAAAATAAATCCGCGGTTTAACCAAAGATTTGCTCGGCAGATTTCCCCGGTAGCCGCCTTCTCTGGAGCTAAAACCTAAGGAGAACCTTTCCTTACTCTTTAACTGCTAAGACACCAGCTGCTGGGGTACTCTGCCCCAGCCCGAAGCTGGGTTGTGCCGAAGCCGGAGCCGGGCGCGATGCCGCGGCATCTCCCAGCCGGGGCTGCCGGAGCCTCCAACGGGGCTGGTGCCGGGCAAAGGCGCCCGGGAGGCTGCTCTCCTCCGCGGGGAAGGGAGCCGTTCCCCTCATTTGTGGGAATAAGAGTAGAAAAAAAAAAAATATGGCTTCCTCTTTTATTTAGTGTGTGGTTCTGCGGGCGTTTGCTTCCTCTGTGTGCTCTGGCTACCGTGCGCTTTATTTCCGACCCTCCGTGGACAGTGTCGCATCAAGGCGCTATCGCTTTCCCACGGCAGAGGGTTGCCTCGTCTGCCAGTCCGTGGTGGTACGTGGATGTATGTGCTCGGGGCCCCTCTGCTTTCTCTCGTCTGTCTGCCGAGGCTCTCTAGGAGCGTGTGTGGAGATATGCATGGGGCGGGGGGGGAGTGG